ACAGCATTGACTGAGAGACCAAACGTGGGTGTGAAGGAGCGTCAGGCTCACAGCCAAGCTTTCAGCCTGAGAAACGGAATTGCCACTCACTGAGATGGGAAGCCTGCAGGAGCCGGGATAGGGATGGAATTGCCACTCACTGAGACTGGAAGCCTGCAGGAGCCGGGGTAGGGCTCCAGCTTTGAGTGTATTTCAGCATTTTCTCCAGATAAGCCCCCTCATTGGGAGCCTGAGGGGTACAGGTGCACATGTCTGTTCACCTTTTCACTGAAGATATTAACCTACCTGCAACCTCATGGACTGTCTGTGCTTAGATTTGAGGTCTGAGGGATGGGAGTTCAGGTATCTAGGGTATTATCAGGATACACCTACCAGCCTCACACACCCTGATAGCTCAAGGAAAATGTGTCCTCTGCTCCCGGGCCCTGAGCCTATACTGTAGGCAAGAGGGAAGAAGCTCAGCGCTGCCCCAGACCAGCTGGGAGAGCGCCACCTGCTGGATGGGTCGGACTGCAGAGTCTCCGAGTTTACATTCTAAGAGGCTGAAGAAAGTGCGAGCCACCTGGGCCCTGGGCAGCAGAGCAGGGGCACAAAGGCCTTCTTTGCCCGGCCAGATGTGTGCTCAGTGAGCCTGCTCCTCGCCTGTGACTCAGCTCCCACCCCCATGCATAGCCTCACCTCAGGGTGCCTTGTCCCTCCTAACGGGCAGTTTTCACTTCTGGGGGTTCATAGTATCCTTTCAGGTTCACAGGCCAATTTTGAGTTTCTTCCATATATATAGTGCTCCTGGGCTGGGTGCTTTCCCAGGACCCCGGCAGCATGGCCGCATGCTCTGCCACCCGTCCTGGCTGGGACTGTCCACCTCCATGTCGCCTGCTCTTCCTCTTCCCTCCTTCTGCTTTACCTATCTTTCCCAAGTCCACACCCTGCTACTGCCCAGACTTCCTCTGGTTTCCTTGTGCCGGCGCTCCTGGTGTCTGGTCCGGTCTCTGCAAGTGGCCACGTGGCTGAGTTTGGTTCATGGTCCTGTGATCTCATCCCAAGAGAGCTCACTGTGCTGTGGGCACAGGTGACCCGAGCTAACGCTCAGCTAGAGAAGGAGCGGACATGGTGCTTTCCACCAAATTTCAGAGGAGAAACTCAGTTCTGCTTCTCAGATCAGAACCCACTGTGGCATCCTGGCTGCCCTCAGGGACATGGATCCCCTTCCCTTCTGAAAACAAGTCTAGGCTTCACCTTTCTCTGCTGTCTCTTTTAATCAACCCTTTTCCGAAAGGTGAAAGATACGCCTGCATTGTGGACAGTGGCAATCCGGGAAGATTCAGAGTACCAGGCAGAGCTAATAAGCAGTGGGCACTGGGTCAGCTTGCCTCTTCTGGCTGAAGCCCAGCTTGGAGTTGCATCATGCTCATGGGATTCAGGAGTCAGAGAGGCTGAGGCTGAGTGGTGAGTTATGACCCCGACGTGCATTTGACCCCCGTGACACAGTTGTCCGGGCGGGTGTCCTGTGGGAGCTCTGGGCTCTGGGCAGCAAATGGGACAGTATGTTGTTATCGGTGGTTGGCATTGCCCGCCCACTGAAATACAGTTTTTATTGGTATTTTTGTTCACTTTTACTTTCTTGGGTGACAGTCGGCATCCACCGGTCACCTCTGGTTGTCACCACTAAAAAGATGGTCCCCTTGTCCCGGAACCTAGAAGCCCCAGAGCCCCGTAGTCGGAAACCTCTCCTTGGTGGGAAGGCCAGGGAGCCTGAGGGTTAGGGTCTGCTCTCCGTGCCGTCTGGGCCTGCTGTGGCCTCCCTGCGATGACATGATGGCAGCCCAGGTGTCCCCTTGGAGCTCACTCACATGCTGAGATGTCGTTCTCCAAGCACACACCTCCAGTCCATCTTCCTCTGACCCCGCACCCTAGACGGAGTCACAGCTGTGGACACAACCAATTAGCTCCTTTGATAACTTACCCTGCAAGTTTTACTTAATTTTTGTTTAAGAACAAAACACTTTAACCGTCCTTTGCTGATAGGTAACTTGTAACCAGTGGGGAAACACTGAGCATCAGTTGGGCAGAGCGGAGAGCAGGAATGGATGTGTAATTACAGCTCTTACACGGCATCTTCAGTGCCACCAGACACTGTCCTGCCTCCCCAGTGAGGAAACGGAGGCCCTGACGGCTGGAGCACAGGTCACAGTGGGGGGCTCAAGGGAAGTGGGGGAAAGCACTGGCTTTGGAACCAGACAGGGAAGGACTCAGATTCTGGCTCTGTCTTGCCGGTGACTTCAGGCAAGTGGCTTAGTTCCTAGAGGCCCGGGTAGTGATGGCAGTAGCGATGTTTGCACAGCAGGGCTGTCGCGAGCGTGAAGCAGCGATCTCCACGGTCCCAGCACCACGCTGGGCACCTGAGAATGGTTGGCTTTGGACTCCGGACCACGTGACCCTGGAGCTTTGGCTCTTTTCTTTAACTATTTTTATAATCACCTTTCCCAAAGGTGGACGGTAGTTCCGAATTGTGGACAGTCATGATAAGGGAAGTCATCCAGATTCCAAGAGCCAGAGGGTGGCCCCCTGCTCCTGAGAGCGCCCTGTCCAGGGGGCAAGTCTCATGAGGGGCAGATGACTGTGGATACCTGGGACTGGTGTGTGTGCTACCATAAGAAATAGAGTTACCAGGTGGGCAGAGTTCTTGAGGCCAGAGCCTGCAAGGGGGGCCACGACTGCCCTCTGCTCCCATGGCAAACTCCTTCATGTGGCGTGTGAGGCCCTGCTTGTCTCAGCCTTCCCTACCCCTGCCCCAGCCACACTCGAGACCCCACTCCCTGATCTCCTTCTCCCTCCCTCGCCCCTTCCTCAGGCCTCCTAGTCTGAGAGGGTGGGCCCCTTGCTGTGAGTCTTCCTAGCCTCCCAGGTGACGCCCCGCTCCCTGTGGCCAGTGTGCACCTCACTTCCATACTCCTGGCAGCATGAAAGCCCTGGGGAGATAGGGGTCCTGCTAGCTTGTTGGCCAGGGCACCTCCATACCTCGGGGGCTGCCTGGCTGGAGCAGGAGGGCAGGCAGCACTGTGGGATAGCAGATGAGAGGTGCTTCCTGTTGTGAGAGCTGAGAGTGGGGTGGTGTTCCCTCAGCACCTTTGATGTTTTAAGGCAGACTGGCTAAGTGAATGGCTTCTGAAACACGTTTGGGAAGGGAATTGTGCTTTCAATGGGAGAGCAATGAAGAGGCCTAGAAAAGGAGGGGTTAAGGGAAGGAAACAGAAAAGCTTGGTACTTTTTAAAAAATATGTATATTTTATTGATTTTTTTACAGAGAGGAAGGGAGAAGGATAGAGAGTTAGAAACATCAATGAGAGAGAAACATCAATCAGCTGCCTCCTACACCCCCCCCCGCCCCCCACCGGGGATGTGCCTGCAACCAAGGTACATGCCCTTGACCGGAACCGAACCTGGGACCCTTCAGTCCGCAGGCCACGCTCTATCCACTGAGCCAAACCGGTTAGGGCAGATCGGTACTTTTAAGGGAAACACTTACTTTCTCATATGACAAACCACATTCACTCAAGGGAGCATCTGCCAG